ATATATATGGAAAATACTTTTGTTAGCCAAATGCTACTGGAACATCCTAGCCCAACTGCCCAGATTCGATCAGGAGAGAGCCAACAACTACTGCACATGCACACTATTTGATTTTTTATATTCTTTTTACAAATCCATTTCACCTGAAATTTTGGGAGTGTGTGCGCCTCACCATGCCAACCAAAAACAGATGTTGAAAACACAGTATGCAAAATATTAAATCACCAAATACTCATGCCCTTGCCACCAACAAGGGGAGAGTATTATCGTAATGTTCATTTTTCATATTTTTTATTTCTATTTTGGTTCTCCTTGATGGGGCGCACCTGCACCTAAAATTCAGGTGCATTGAACTTATAAAAAATATTAAAAATCAACCACAGAGTCGCGAAATTGGCACTTAGATTGGCCCAGATTCAATCTCGGCTGTTATACTAATACTGCTCTGTTAGAAATTTGGCTAACAAAAATTTCTTTCCCTCTCTCTCTCACTCTATATATATATATATGTGTGTGTGTCTGTGTCTGTGTGTGTGTGTGTGTGTGTGTGGAGCAGCGCACGCACACACAACTAATTGATTCACTATTATTGAACTTACAGATCAAGTCTTTCACAAATTGCCCGTCGAACTGAGGCATTAAGACCATATGCTATTGAATTAAACAATCCCTGAAACAATGAAATCGGATCCTTAATCTCAAATTCTAATATACAAGAAATACTGTATAAATCTGAACATCAATCATTTACTTTTACAACAAAAATACCATACTATTTTATGTCAAATTTCCACAGACAACAGATACAGTAGAGATCTCAATATTAACCTGTTACCGTTGTTTGCAATTTAGAAAAAAGAAAAGAAAAAACTGTGACGTTTGCAACAAAATAAGCCATTATTCTATAAAATATAGTAATCTAAAACTGTCAAGGTATCCAACCATTGACTGTGCTTTAGAAAAGCTTAAGAGGGATCTAGTTTTTATTAGCCATGGGTGGTCCATAGAACACTAGGAATCACCATATCCAGAACAGGAATGCTACCCCATCAGGACATAGGAGAATCTCAGAATGATCATAAAATATAAATTACCATCTTTTCTGAGTGTTTACAATGAGAAAAGTTATTTACCATCTTCTCTGAGTGTTTACAATGAGAAAACTTATTTACCATCTTCTCTGAGTGTTTACAATGATAAAACTTATTTACCATCTTCTCTGAGTGTTTACAATGAGAAAACTTATTTACCATCTTCTCGGAGTGTTTACAATGAGAAATGATATGCTAAGGTATGTGAAAGACTGATTGCATTTGCTAGGAACATTTTTCAATCAATTTGATCTTGAAGCCGTCAGTCATCAACCAATGGATATGACCAAAGAAAAAAAATCAACTAAAGGGAACATCAGAGGTTTATTGAAACAAACATGAACATCTTTGAAGTATAGAATCAATCACAAACCATTAATAAGAATTATGCAAAGTGATAATGACACAGAATATATTAAAGCTCACTCATTTGTAAGAGAGGATTCGTAAGAGAGGATTAGAACCAGTGGCTAGGCAGTCCAAAAATGGCAGATGGAAACTAGATTACATCAAGTATGCAAGCAATCTAGTCCGTTAGATTAAGAAAGAGCAGGGCTAGAAGGATAAGAGAAAATGGTGCCCAAATCATGATACATCAATAATTTAAATCAATCATCAAGCAGAAGTTGAGATATTTAACAGCATAATGCTACAAACATACAGCTTTTCTTTTCTGAAGATGACATCTTAAATTTAGATTGCAACCAATCAACTATAATTGATGACATTCATGAACAAGATAGAGTATGAGATTATTCATACCATTAGTGCAGCCATTCCAACATCAAGAAAGGAAAGCCAAAAGATTTTGTGATTTGGCTCAATGAAATCATGGATACGATTGATTGTACCAAATGCCCATGAACCTATCAGGATCAGTGGGTAGTATCCCCACCTGTTTAATGCCTGCAAAAGCCTTGGAGTTATATGTGATGATGTCATCACAAAAATCTGATTGTGGAAAATAAATTGCAACAATAGCAAAACTCACAATCAACAATAAGAGGCAGTTTAAGTAAGATTAGAGAACCAATGCCAAAGAAATTTTGCAGAAGAGATAGAACAATGAACCAATTGTTTGAAATAAGCTCGATAAATTCTGTAATTTGTATAACTGGTTTTGGAGAATGGATTGATCCCTTGTCTCAGGTATATTCCAGCTAAAAGAATACCCCACTAGGGTTCAGGGAAATATTTATAATTTAGGAAATTCAATTTCAAGTCTATATTTGCTACTAAACATAAATTGGATTACATATCATGCATGGATGTGACAATATGACAGAATCCAGTATATGGTTATAAATTTAATTTATATTTTATAATTGATATGGTGTTTGAATCATTATCATCATCATCATAACTTTTTCCCAACTAATTGGGGTCGGCTACACAAATCCTAGTACAACATTTTGCTCTATTAAGGATCATACCTCGGTGAGGCCATAAGTCCCCATACCTTTTCTCACTACTTCCAACCATGTCCTTTTAGGCCCACCTCTTGCCCTTTTTAAGCCTTCCACTTGAACTAACTTGCACCTCCTAATAAGTGTTGTACTGGGTATACACCACACATGGCCAGCCCACCTAAATCTACTCTCTCTCATCTTATCGCCTATTGGTGATACACCTAAATTTTCCCGAATGTATTCATTTCGAATTCTATCCCTTCTTATCTTGCCACTCATCCTTCTTAAAATCCTCCTCTCCGCAGCACTCATTCTATGGGTCTATCGTTTTTTGATCGCCCAACATTCCGCCCCATAAAGCAAAGCTGGTCTCACAACTGTTCTATAGAACTTGACCTTCAGCTTCATTGGCATGCAGAAATCACATAAAATTCTGATTGCACATTTCCACTTCGCCCACCCAACTCTAATTCTATGTGCAACATCTTCCTCAATCTCTCTATTTTCCTCTATTATTGGCCCAAGATATGGTTCATGAATGTAAATGCAAATTATAAAAAGCAATATCTGATTCTTACTTTATTATAGGATATGCATAATGAGTCTCAGTGATTTTAAGTAGAGCTTTCTTATTAAAATAGAAAATTCAAAACCTACTAACCCAAAGTAGCTGATTTGCCAAAGTGTTTCTCTTTCCTGACCAAACTGAAGAATGCTCCACAGCAATTTCAACACATTGTAGCACTTACACTAAATCAATTTTTTTCCTAGTATGGTGTTTGTGTCACAGACTTCCCAAGAGGTCACCCATCCTATCCTATGCACATTTGTCCTGATTTCCAATCACGTAGAAATCCCCAGTGTTTGCTATGTGGGTCATTCATATTGAGCTTCCATAACCTTTGACAAGACTTCTTTTACGCATGCGAGTGTTATAATCAACCCTACAATGCATAACATTCATCATTGTGGGCATGTCCAATACCCACTAGCATCCTTGTGAACCTTAAGAACACAATCAACTTTGGGAACGCAATCAAAAAGAAAAGAGCAAATACTCGAGGAAATACGTTAGTTAGAAGGGCATAAAAGCCTTCGTTCAAAAATCTGTTAATCAACTCAACAGCAAAGCCAGGGTTTGACAGAGGACTTGATAGAACTAAACACGGAAAACCATCAAGGAGATGCATAAAGCTCCAAGGGTGGGGGCCATGTTCATATTCCAATTAAAAAGGAGGTTGGTGGCGTTTCAGAGGAGATTGATATGAGATTTGTAGAGAAAGACAGATGGTACGTGTAGTTGGCTGTGGGGCTTTGCCCCTTGATTGACCAAAAAACATGTGGTCATAACAAATATCCCTTCATCATTCAAATGGTACCAGATAGGGAGTGCATTTTGATCCCTTGACCACTATGTGAGGGGTAGGTGGGAGCAGCTGGATTAGCTCTTGAAAGTGAGGATGTATGCATTTTATGGCTCTTAAGTGATAATGTGTGCTATTGAATACATAGGTGCAGTGTGTATGTATATCTTAGTGCTGCTCTCCCAGAGACAATCGAAACAACTTAGATGGTTAGACCTCCAATAGATGGTCAACACTAAGAAACTCCTCTGAAGAAGTGCACCACAAAAAAATAGCAATTTATTAGAAACTAGGACCACGACGAATGTCAGTATAATGTTGTTCAAATGTAAATGGAACTTGTTTGCTAAAAGAAAGCACCACTTTCCCAGAGATTATCGAAACAACTTAGATGGTTAGACCTCTAATAGATGGTCAACACTAAGAAACTCCTCCCAAGAAGTGCATCACGGGAAAAATAGCAATTTATTAGAAACTAGGACCATTACGAGTCAGTATAATGTTGTTAAAAAGTAAAGGGAACTTTTTGTTAAAAGAAAGCACCTTCATATCTGCCCTTGTATCAGATTGGTTTGGTTGGTCTGACATGCCAACTGCCATCTGTAGATTGGAACCTAAAGTCAGGTTTTGGATCTTCCATCTAGAATCAAGTAACCATACAATAACTACTTTTGTGGAAACATAGTTGTGAGAAGTCCCAAGATTCACTTTAACATTAAGGTGCCTAATGTACTGCTCACTTTCAGGAACAAAATAACATACACGAGTTGCATTATTCAGCATGCGGATGACTTGGAAGTATGTAAATCCATTGAAAAGAATTGCTCCCCAAAGAGGAGTGTAAAATGTTAGAAGTTGGACAACCTGCAAAAACAATCCAACATGCACCTTTTAATTCATCTGCAAAACAAATATACATAACAGTAACTGCAATAAAAAGAATCACAGATATTGTTATATGAAAAATTACTAAAGCAATAGATAAGAAAAGGATTTTTAACAGGGATGTCCGACAATTTCAGACCACTTGGAAAAAATGATCCTAAAGTCTGCAGCATGGAAAGACTCTGCTGTAAAAAGTAAAAAGAGAAAGAACTATCATTATTGCCAATTAAAATTTCCAAAGAATATATGATGAAGCTTGATCATGTCCATCAAGGAGCAATCTGGGGAATGAATAAATGCTAGATCATTGGCAACAAACGACCAAACGATATCACAACGAGTTGGCCGTTGACCTGAATAGTGTACTTTAGTTTGAGAACAAAAATTCTCATCATTATGATGCTACCAAACCATACCAATAAATTTTTTTTTTTTGGTAGTGCCTAATAATAAAGAAAAAAGTACTTTAGTTAAAGGGCAAATGGAAAAGAGACGGATCAAGTTTCATCTTTGGATAGTCGAAGATGTTTTGGTTTTCATGCAACAAATATGTTATCCAAAAAAATTTTGAGACAAATCCTTATGGGCAACAGAGCCTTGATAATAGTGCCTCTAACTCTGCACATGAGATCAAACAACTAAATTATAGCATGCCTTTCCTGTTTGGCCAGCTGTCTGAGTCCAACACCAAGCACCCACACGACCATAGTCATTGCCTATTGACTGTATGACAGTCATGACAAGTGCAGTTCCTGTCAAATGAATCAGAGAAGAACCTCAAGTTAAAACTCCATGAGAAGAGAATAATCATCATCATCATCATCATAGCCTTTTCCATGAGAAGAGAATAACAACTATGAAATAAATATACCAAAGTGTCAATAAAAGCAAAACAGAGAATGGCATTGCCAACAGTCATGATACCAATGGTTGAAAGCCCAATGTAACAAGCATTCCAAAAACCAAACAAATGTAAAAAGAAGGAACATTTCTTATTTTTTCTTGTTTTCCACAGTTAAATATGAGAACTCATACTGCGACCCAGTTTTTGAGATGAACCATTACCACCAGGGTACGGGAAGGATCAGACTGGCTAATGGTAAAGGTTTTTATAATCTAAAGGCACTAGCAAGGATGAGGATGAGGCAATGTAGAAAACATTGAAGCATATATGGGGGGTCCATACAATATATCCTGCATTCGTCTATTTGAGTATGTGTGTGTATCTGCATGCTTGCGTACTAGCATATAGGATTTGAACACATGCTTCCCATAGATAGTGCTCTCTTAGTGCACTATAAATGCAATTTATCTTACTACATGTTTAAACCTAGCCTTATGGATTATTGATATATATAGTATGGGCGTGATTCACTTATAGTTCGAAGAGCAGTTTCGAACTACTCAGCATTCCCTTGGATGGCAATGCGATGTCAAATGAGTAAAATTGATGCATCATGACCATGTTATAGCACATGCTACATACCCCAAACATAAAGGTGAAACACAGGCCCTAGGTCTTCAACATCAGTTTTATGCCTGACAACAGTGCGATGGAGTGTGAAAGCAATTGCCGTTGTCCAGAGAAAAGAAGCCACACAAAAGAAATGTGTGCTATAGCCCTGGGCATAGCAAAAAAATCCTTTAGTAGGATCCCTGCAACAAAAGATGGGATATCAAGCTAAGTTATTTTCAAAATCAATAACAATGTCTAGATTCAAATGATTCCTCTGCTGAATAAGATACTGTTAAACTGTAATAATTTTTCAACTAATGATAGGCACCCAGGACCTACAGAAAACTTGTTTGAGGTGTTAGGTCCAACGGAAAATGCATACAACTGAAGCAAATGATATTAGGTGAATAATAGAGATAGATAGTTGCCCATATGCACTCAAAACTATGTTTAGTGTTAATGACCCATTATAAATGGAAGAAACATACCCAACTATGTTGAAGAAGCTACAAAACATATCCTGCAAAACAAACATACACAATTTGTCAGTCGATATGTCAAATCAAGATCCATTTTATAAAAGAATAACCATGGATATTTTAACCATCATGAATCAAGAAAACATGTAATAATACAGCTGACAAGATAAACAACAAATTTTCTCAATCATGCCAGAAAGAGAGTGGAAACCACATATAATTAAGTGTGCATTTGTTCCTCAGCTAAACATATGGGAAGATATTTAAAAAGACATGGTCCATCACCACAATGAAGTGATGGCCCTCGCAACAAATTTTCTCAATCATGCTAGAAAGCAAGTGGAAACCACATATAATTAAGTGTACATTTGTTCCTCAGCTAAACATATGGGAAGATATTTAAAAAGATATGGTCCATCACCACAATAAAGTGATGGCCCTCACAATTTGTCGGGATTATTCAGAACAGAAATCTTTCACACTTCAACCACAATAACTTTACCACATAAACTTGTCAAGATAAAATTAGGAGAACCAAATGCGGTCATCAAAAGAGAGTCCAATTGGAATTCAAAATCTGAAATTTAAAAGTTTTGTAATGTGCAAAAATTTTGTCAAAGAGATCTTTTGCTAACCACAAGCTAGAGATATCGCCTTTTTCTCTTTATTAATAAGTTTTATTCCATTTTAGCTTAAGGATTATACATACTGAGATCATTTTTCCTTTGGTGTAAGAAGGTCACAGTCACCCCTTGCCATTAGAGTTGAATTCTGGCAGCTAAGACAATGTCGAAAAATTTGAAAAATGTTTCCTTGAAAATTTGCAGAATCAATAGCGTACCTCTAGCCATCCGATTACGCATCTGATGGCAAGGGGTCATTGTGACCTAGTGTCAAAAGTAGGCGGTCTTATCCTATATACTTTCTCTTTACTTTATTGCTTTACCACAACATCAAGATTTCGTTCTTCCCTTTATAGTCATGGCATAAGCATACCTTAAAAATTGATGAGAATCTTCCATTTCCCCAAACAACAGGCAGTCAATTACCAAAAGTGAGATTTAAATTACAGATAAAATTAATGAATTAAGAGGGAAAAAAACAAAATTTTGATATTTTAACATAACCAGCAGATAACCGACCCAACCCTCCCTTCATTAAGCAAAAGTTCGTCTTCTACCAACTCCCAACACAATTAGGAAAATAAGACCTAAAACGGAACAAAATTTGGTAAGGAGAAGAATAAGTTGCAGTTCCACTTACTATATTTTTCTTTTGAAAAAGGGTGACTATATTGTGTTGAAGGTAAAGGTGTTACATATACAAGTTGCAGTATACAGTATACTGTGTAGAAAAGTGGGGAAGAGCCATCTCAAAAACCAAATATGATGGACTGTTTGACATTGATATATGATGGAATGTGACATTGATATATGCACTTATCACAAAATCTGTACAAAAATTCGGACATATCTACAGGCAAATGAAGACTTTATTTTCCCAATTGATTATGTTTTTACAATCCCCTCAATGACCAGCGAGTTACCCCAGCTGCTATTGAATAATTTCAGTCCCCGCCAAACAGCAAGGACTTTGGCCATTGATGAAGTACCTGCTATTGAATAATTTCAGTTCCTTCAAAACAGCAAAGATTTTTGCCATTGACGAAGTACCGTGCCCATGGGCTCTGCGAAAGATAAGATCGAGGGAGAGAGGTTGTCCCTAAAAATTCCACCCAGTCCTGCCATACCAGATTCTCCAAGCGAGTACCCATTGGTGCCAGGTTTCAGTGGTAGTTCCACTAACTATAAGATGGGCTCTGAGAAAGATAAGATCGAGGGACAGTGGTTGTCCCTAAAAATTCCACCTAGTCCTGGTATGCCATACCAGATTCTCCAAGCGAGCACCCATTGGTGCCGGGTTTCAGTAGTAGTTCCACTAACTATAAGATGCATGTAATTAACTAGCATTTTGAACAAATAAATAAATTCCGATATTACTCAATTCCTTAAAAATAAGAAAGAAAATACTAGTGGATTCAAAGCATTGATTCTCCTACCATCAACCAGATTCAAGAACATGATAGCAATTTTATGCTTTTAACGAAATAAGACAACAATTCGACTTATGTAAATCCAATTACGAAATAAATAAACAAATAGAACTGATGAATAAACAAGTACAGAGATCCTGATAATCTCATTTATTTTCCCTGGTTTTTTAAGCAGAAAGTGAAAGAGTGAACTTACAGATAAAGCAAGGAAGAACACTAGCTTGAAAGAGAACTTTCGAAGTTCTTTGAAGAGGGCATAGCAGAGAACAATGAAGGCCGAGCCAGCAAGAGACAAGGTGGACGCTCCAACATTAACAGCAGCCAGTATATGGCGATCATTTGCGGAGAAGTTTCCAGCCATTTTCACTATTAAAAGCACAATCCCTGAAACCCTAAGGTTTCATTTGATCTATATTTCACAGAGAATTCCGCCACTTCCACCATGAAAAGGGAGAAAGACCAGTTCAATAAACAGGACCCCAACCCCTAAGAATTATTGCTCCATTTAACAGAGAATTTGTAGCATTTGCACCACTGAAACGGCATGACGAGCTCATAGAATCAGGCATAAAAGAAAATTTGCACCATGCTCACCATTAAAGCGCTCGGAATTGAACTGACAAAAGAGAGTCTAAAAACCCTAAGAATCTTAGGAATCTTTTGCATAAATTTTCCTCACCATTTCGCCATTAAAATGGCCTGAAGCTTACTCTGAAAAGCCTAAAAAATCCGCGATCTTATACAAAATTTAACCATCAAATGTAAGACAAGTGAAGAAAACACGTCTTGATACCCAAAAATTTGCCCTAATTATGGCGGTTAGTCTCTTACAATGCTCCCTTAATTCACAGTTAATTGTTAATGGAACTGTAGACGATGAGAACGTTACCATATAATATAAAAGTCACAAAGAGCCTAAGCCGTCCGATAAAAAATTGAATGGCGAAGGATGGCTAAGTTGTCTCATTATTTTTACAAACTACGACGTGGAGGAAATCTCCATGAAGGTTGAGTTTCCAACACCAACAATAAAATTTAAAACTAAAAAATGGTACAAGGTCTTGCACATCTCCTTAAGATCTTTTAGTATTTATTTTTAAAGCAAAATGGACAATCTTGATTATTTGTTACAGTATGCATTAATTTTAGAGTTAAAAATCTTAAATTTTTTTCACAATTATAATGTTAAAGTTAAAACTAAAACTAAAAATTGGTACAAAATTTAAAACTAAAAAATGGTACAAGGTCTTGCACATCTCCTTAAGATCTTTTAGTATTTATTTTTAAAGCAAAATGGACAATCTTGATTATCTGTTACAATATGCATTAATTTTAGAGTTTAAAATCTTAAAATTTTTTCACAATTATAATGTTAAAGTCGAGATGATCGATGTAAAGGTTTTCCAATCCTCGATTTGTAATATTTGATAAGTTTTGAAGTGAAGATTTACTTATTTTAATAGCTTTACGTACCTTTACAGGCAAGGAGCCAGATCAATAGTACAACACTAACCACCCATTTTTACATTTGAAGTTTAAAAGTGCTTGTCATCTTCATTATCAAATAAGGGTTTATGTAAGACTGCAGCATTATATGATCAAAGTGAGGTGCATGTCGAAAATTTAGTAGAAAAGAGTACAAAAAATTGAAAAAATTTCCAATTGATTATCTCAACCTCGAGGTATATGGAAATAAAGAAAAAAAGAATTTCAAATCCTAATAATAGTACAACTTATAACATGTCATTTAGACTATTTATTTTTAATATTTTTAAATATTTATAGATATGCAACATATCGCACTATATTTTAAAATTTTATATTTCGTAATTAATATTGAACATATATTTTCAAGCCATCGTAAGGTTCCCGACACTGCAAAGCTTTACTTCTATGGTATATAGTACGAGGTGGGCACCTTGTACAAACCTTGCAAGTCATCCTTTTAGTTGCTTCTTAACTAGGAGGTATGAAACTACCATAAAAAGAAAGCTTGCTTTTGTGGAATTGACATGTGCATGTTACTTATTGTTTGCTATACACATTTTTTGTGCTAGTTTAATTTGGTGCACACCATGGTCATATCAGAAAATACAATTCATTTAGATGTTCTTGATCACAACTGGTTTATCACCATCCAATTGGTCTACAGCAGTGGATATCAGTTGAAAACATACTACAGATATACTTCATCATGAAGTTTCGGCTTCAAAAGTCAAAACCTCCGATTTAAGGGATGACTTCAAGTTTATCCGCATCGTTGGAATTGTCAAAAAAGAAAGAAGCCACTCCTTCCAAGTCCCCACTAAAGATTTTCCCAGCCAAAACTTCCGCCAAACAAACATATGCCCCTATTTGTGATGTCACATGAACATACAATGTGAAATACAAAAACATTAAAAAATTTGGGATTGTCTACGACAAGACCTTTTTATCTTTTGTACATGGCTTGCGATGAATCACAAAATCCGATAATTTTTTTTTTTTGAAACTTTGTATCTATTCAATGACATTCTTACAACCACCCATTTTAAAATTTAATAAACAAGAATGATTATGACTTCCATGTACAAAATTTAACAAACAAGAATGATTATGACTTCCATGTACAAAAGACAAATGACCTCTTTCTAAAATCAATAATGTCTATCCCCTTCTAACCAACAAATTAATGGTGAAAAAAAATATAGTGGTAGGTACCACTTGGACCTGATGGAACATACGCTATTTTTATTACCTTCAAGGTTTTGTCTTTTTTGTACTGAAGACACTTAACAATCAGAGATTTTTATATGAGATTCTATACAATAAGACCATTTATCTATTGTACAAGACGGTCACAATTATTCACCACCATCTTATATGAAATTTGATAGCTTGAGTAAGTCACAAAATGCGAAAAAAAAAATTGAAGTTTGAACTTGATCAATGGAATAAATAAATCCACCTGATTTCACATCCAATAGTCAAGATTAATTGCGACCACTTCATAAAAAATTAAAAAAATAATCCCTATCATATAGTTTTCCTTCATTTTATATAGTGGAATGGATGATGATATACTTTCCATCATTCATGTGAAGAAATTAAATGTGTACACGGTAGTGCCTAATTGGATTGCATGCCAGCCCATCAGATATCCACCTAGAAAAGAGAGAGCGAGATAAGAGATGGATGTTCCTCTTTACATGATAGCATGTTTTCTTAAGAATAAAATTACAAAATATTAAATAGCTCATCTCTCATAATGCGTTTTAACTTTAGCAAATGCGGTTATGTAAACCATGTTTTATAAAGAAGTGGATACCACTACCGTAGTCTCCATAGTCACCGACAGTATCCACTTTTCGCTTTTCTCGTTATCAAATAGGAAAGTGCCACAGTTTCTGGAAGTCCAAAACCTATTCTTCAATAATTCCAACACGCCCTTCGTTTATTTTGATACATTCCCCTTGTTTATTTTTATTTTTTTTTTTTCTTTTGTAAGATATCATTCCCACTGAATAAAGAAAACGAAAGTTCTCAAAATATAATTATCAAGTACTGAACATTTTGCCAACTATTTGAACTGATCATGCATACTTTAATAGGATTTTGATAGATTTAATCAAAATAAAAAGTACAATTTAATTGAAGTAGAAGCACCAAAAGGGCAAAAAAAAAAAAAAACCAAAAGAACTAAGATAGAAATAGTGAAAAAAGATACAATGACTTCCCTTAATATAACAAAATGACAAAAAACATGATTCTTACTACCAATCCCAAATAATTATGGTAACGCCCGGATGATGATGGTGATTAAAATCAAAAAATTAGGTAAGGAATAAAGTGCGGTTTAGAATAGTCAAAACCCTAAAGAATCTGATTCATGTGGTGTACGTTTCAAATCTTTTGTACCAGTTCTTACTTGTATTGGCAAGTCTTTCACCACTTATTAACTACTTAAACTAAGTATGAAATAACCAACACAGATTCAACATCCAGCCATGTTAATCCAAGGCCAAAGAGTAATGAGTTGTTTCCAACTTTCATAAGGCATTGTTTTCCAGAAAGAACAACTACCGAACCCTCATCATATACGGTAGGATAAAGTATAAATTATGTACTACTAAAAAGTATAATATCTGCTCCCCACAAAAACAGGGTGGAAGTAAAGACCAATAACATCCAAAAGAAGTAAACAACCACATCTTCTAATATACGTGTACTAAGAGAAATAATACTCATGAAATGCAAAAGGGGCAGGCAAACAAGAGAGCAAACTTCATAAAATCTCCTACTTCGAAAATAAGTTAATGCCCATACTTCTGGAATTCCCACTCACTGTTATCTGCATAAAAGATCACAGGAGAGTCAGTAACTTCAATCAGCAAAGGGGATTTATGCACAAAATGAACCGATAGTCAAACCTCCTCACAACCAGAGAGAGCCACACGTCAGTTCGATCTTTTTTGAGAACGAATTTAAAGATTTGGTTTGATCGGTTTTGACTTTAAGGAACATAGTTCAAGCATGAACAGCATTACGGAAATTCGATACCTTGGAACTAGAGAGAGAGAGAGAGAGAGAGAGAGACCCACGACCAACAAGTAGATTGATCAGGATTTAGCTTGATCTGTTTCGAAAACATATTTCAAGGTTCAAACACTTGATCTCCATTATCAAGTAGGATATTAGAATGGCATCCAATTGGATGCCTTAGATCGACACCCTTGTGGGGGAGATGCATTACCTAGAGGGCAGACTTGACGCGTCTTTAGCCACCGACTGATGCAGTGGAAGTGGAAAGCGTGGTTACAAACACCTGTTTCAATAACACACACCATAACAGGATCAGTATGCTTACGTGTGCTATCCTAACATGGCCCAATCACTTAACATAAATCCTTCACCAAGTGAAGTCAATTGAGGTTGAACATATGGTTTCTCTGTGCATGTGTGAACGCACTTGTGTGTATTGTGTATTAAAGCCTTCATCCAATCATAAAAAGAACCAAAGATGGAAGCTAATTCTCCAGAAATTCACAAAACATGCAATATTTATTCCGATTTATTCACCCTGCTCACCACGAGAGAGAGAGAGATGTTTCATTGCAAAGAACAATGTTTTCTGAACTCAAAAAGCCACCTGATACCCACTCAGAACTAACAAGACACGTCCAAATGAGTCTGGGATAGTCATTAAGTGAGAGAGGATGCAGTTTCCAATGAATACAAAACAGGAAACAATTAAATTTGCAGTGTTGGATGGCAACACTGTTAACCATCGTAAAACGCACATATAGCGCACGCAACATGCCATCTCATAAGAAGTATGCACGTGCATGGACACACACATGCGCACACACAGAGATGTAACACAACTGGATAAGCTTCAGAAAATCTACAAGACCCATGCAGAGGTTTGACACTAAATATGATGAAAGGATCAACAACTCAAAGAAAGGGAAAGAAAGAGCACAAGACAGAGAGTGTTCTCATCGAGCAACTCAGCCACGTTAGTGACCAAATTCCAGGGCGACCCAAGTTAACATGAGGATAAAAAAAGGTGACACATGGTTGTGACATAAGGGAGCATGAGAGAATAATACTAAAAGCAACAAGAGTTACACCCCGGCTAGAACAATGAATGGTGCTCATGACATACTGAGAAGCAAGGCTACCACATTAGCATGATACAAACAAGAGTTCCACATCTTAATAGACTAAATAGTAATCCTAGTGGTAGCAGCTAACCATGGCCACAGAATCAGCAGTTATCCCGAGTGCTAATAGTCATCATTTAAGTAAGAAATATTAAATGCCACAAGCCAATGTAAAAGAAGTCGACAAAATAATTGGAAATCATACCATTTAAAAAGGACAAAAAAGCTGTTTTTTGTTTTTATGAAGAACAAAACTTATTTTATACTAGCAATTGGCAAGAGATCAACAAGATGGTACTGTCAATCATCTACAATATGATGCCAACCAGCAATATGAATATGTCAAAGTATAACCATAATCCCATGCAGAATGGCATATGGCACTCCAAAGGGGTATCCACCATCCAATAATGATTACATATGGCGGAGGGGCCAACTGAAGCTTTTAGGGGTGGGTATGTAAAGGTGCACAGTTGAACCCAAAGGCTTGGAGGTTAGGACATAGAGTTCGTGAAGTTTTTTCTTCTCTTTATCATTCTTTTTTCTTTGGGGGGGGGGGATAACTTAGAGGTAGGATTGAGACTCGAAGCAGCGTCAACACAAAGTTAGAACATTGGAGGGATGCTCTAGAATCTAAAGGTTTAAAATTAATCCGACTAAGATAAGAGTATATGGAATGCAAATTTAGTAATAATAGGAGCAAAGACAATAAAATTATTAAGTTTAACGACCAAGAAATACCAAAAAGAGCACACTTTTGATATCTTGGATCAATCCAGAAAAATGGAAAGATTGAGGAAGATGTCGCACATAGACTTAGAGCTAGGTGGGAGGCGTAGAAATGTGCAACCGGAGTTTTATGTGATCATCACATATCAATCAAGCTAAAGGAAAGTTCTATAGGGCAGCTATGACACCAGCTCTGTTTTATGGGGCTAAATGTTGAGCGGTCAAAAAACAACAGACCATAGAATGAGTGTAGCTGAGATGAGGATGCTGAGATGTATGAGTGGCAAGACTAGAAGGGATAGAATTTGAAATAAGTATATTCGGAAGAGGTTAAGTGTGGCTTCAATAAGCGATAAAATAGCCCAATACAATACCTGTTAGGAGTGCGAGTCGGTTCAAATAGAGGTTCAAAAAAGGCAATGGGTAGGTCCAAAAGGAGATGGTTGGAAGTCATGAGGAAAGCTATGGGGACTTATGGCCTCACTGAGGGTATGTCCCTTTGATAGAGCAAAATGGCAAACCTAGATTCACGCAGCCGACCTCAAATAATTGGGACAAAGCTCTGATGATGAACTTAGAGGTAGGATTCCGATTTGCAATATCAATTGTCAATAACTTAACCAATGAAACCCAAAGTCAAATCATTATAAAGTCACAGAAGTCCACCCAAGAAATGTGGGGATGCATAGGTATGCTCTTTTCTGATATTTTCAATAGTCTTATGTAACACACCTGGAAAATTATATTGTGGCAGGTCAGCATGGAGTTTGAACCTTGGATGTAGGGTTGCAATCGTCAGTACTTAACCAATCAAGCTAATGCTCAAAATCCCCCATTTCACTTCTTTTAATATGCAACTTTTTTGAAATCAGAAACAAGCCTGTGCCACTTTTGACATGAAGCAAGCTAGTGCCATCCATGCCGGCATTCATATAATCCAAAAAGACAACAATATTTACAAGTCTATTGGCAATCTAGAGCGTTCCAATGTCCAGGGCCAACAACTCTAACCTAAATTTGTGCTCCACTAGTCCAAACGCACCTTAACACGGTAGGACACGGTAGTAAAGTGCAATCCCCAATCCTTATTTGTCTCTCATTCAGGCCTCCATTGACTCCACATTATTGGAAACTCCTCTAGTCCTTCCCACAATCTTTGCTAGATTCTACAAATCTCAAAAGAACTCTATGGTAATCCTACGATCATTGATATTAGTCAGACTCACACTGCAGAGGACAATGATGTATTTGTCCGACTTCATTGTAACAAAGGGATTAAGATTAGCTCCTGTTGAGATGCACCCTGTGAAAGTGGATGCAGTTAAGTCTCCTCAACAACAAAATCACACATGCATCTCACTTAAAACTCAATTGACAAAAAGGGTTCCTAAACAAATCATGAATACCTTATCTACACAATGAGACCAAGGACATCATATCAAGAAAGAACCCCACCACAACATGCCAATCAGCCTTTTATTTTTCTTTGATAAGTATGCCAGCTTAAAAATGTTACCAGCATTTTGAGCATCCAAATCAAAAGAGAAGGCAATGACATGATATGGAAAGGCACTCTATCTATCTTCCCAAACAAAAGTTCCATATTATGAAGCCAATCTCGCTACATGCTCCCTGCCTTTCTTAATCATCATCATTCCCATTCTACGTCTTCCAGTTCTGTGCATCTAGCCTCTGCAACTTTTTTTTTTTTTTGAGAGAATAGCCTCTACAACTTGCAATACGGATATGACATTTTTTGGCTACACAAAATGATGGATATCCATTTGGACAGGAACAATGGCCCTAGAGCCATCCCATTATAATGAGATGTAAAAAGCACTATAAAAAACACAAACACCCCTAAATGAATACACCACATGCAAACTCGAGAGGGAACTTTTTGAAACACCCAAAATATAAAGATTAAAACAAACCAACAAAAATTTCCACAAGATGCAAAATTAAATATCTCTAGAAGCCAAACATGTTCATCCCTGAAAATGAGAAACATGCTTATAAACAAAGGTCCTTAGATAGCCCATCCAGTTGGACCAAGTTAATCTGCTGACTACAAAATGCATTGGAATTTGAGGTGGTGTAAGCATATACGGCATTCCCAAACCTCTCCACATCCCACCAAATCAACCCCCCTCCTCGTCCCAAAAAAAGAAAAAGAAAAAAGGAAAAGAAACATAGTGACTACTAGAATGATGACTTCAAGTTACATAAGAATAAGAGTTCTTAGTCACCAAGTGGAAACTTTTAGACTTGGACTCAGCTTGGTCACAAGCACCAACTCCCGCAAGGGAGCTCGGGGTTGTCTAAATCTCCAATTCTTAACTAACTTCTTAATATATTTTATTTCAGTGTTTTTCTTTTCTTTCTTTTTCAATTTTTGTTTTTTTGGTTGGGAGAGAGGGGTGGGGGGGATAGGTTGCTTGTGCTTGGGACCCTACGAATCAGAGTCTAGGTCCAATTTTTTAAATAGTAGTCTCAAGTGAAATTCAATTGTAGCATTCTGTCAACTAGGCAAAAAGTTTATACGAGGCATTAAGCTTATACTATAAACCAATGGTTTAAAAAGCGAATCGGTGACCCGGATTGGGCACCTCAAAAACCGATCCGGATCGACGAATCGGCTGAATCGGTTGGATTAAAGCTTCAAAACAATCTGAAAAAATTATTAAAATTCATTATAAATGTTGTTTTTTAAGAATCCAATAAGAAATGAGGGTACTACATTATTAACTTTCTTTTTTTTCATCAATTTGTGAATATTGAGATGCTCTTTCCCTGTATAAACTTAAGTATTAAATTTGCATCACATAAAAGAAAAATCATAGAATTATCATGGGTAAAATATCTAATTATACATGGACTATAATAAAGAGTAGACTAAATCAATGAAAGAGTGGCCATTAAAATCTCGTTTTGGCAAAAAACCCTAATCCGCTAAAAAAACCCAAAGTATTATAGCCAAACTAACTATAATCCAAAAGTATTACAACTTAACTAATTATAATATTATATACTGAAATTATAATTATTAATTTACATTTTATAATTATTTTATTAGACAAATAATAACAAATTAAAAATATTTTATAATATTATCTAATTTAAAATATATTATTGACAACTGTAAGAAAAATAGTACACTACATGATTTATAATGTAAAAATTAATAAATAAAATAAAAGATTTGGTTATCAATGTAAAAATTAATAAAATGCGTACAAATTTTGGAAATAACACTTCAATTTTTCAAAAATTTAATTTTTTAGGTTTCTATAATAAATTTAGTGAAAGAGATTGTTAGTAGAAAGAGGGAGATTTCAAATAGAATAAACTTTTTATTTTTTATTTTTTTATGCCTTTCATATTATTTACAAAAATAACTATACCACTATATACAACAAAAATTAACTGTTATACAAAAAATTAACATTTTTTTTTTTCATTTTTTTATGCCTTCTATATTATTTACAAAAATATTTATACCACTATATACAACAAAAACTACTATACAACATATATACAACAAAAACTACAAAATATACAACAAAAACTACTATACAACATATATAAAACAAAAACTACAAACTGTAACGCCCAAGGGGATTCGACCTTGAGACATCAAAGCCAAAAACAAAAGTCATAACCATCACGCCGTCTCACTGGATGTGATTATTAGTTGCTGATTAATAGAATATATTTACATTCCTTTTTCATTTTATGATGTTTGGGAAGTATCCCATGTCGAAGGATGGGTATTCAGTTTTGCTTTATAAATACCTATGTAATATGAAGTAAGGTATACGCGCGGAAACATGGGGCAACTTCACACATGGTATGTGGCATGTGATTGTCACACGTGTCCGCTTGTCGCACGTGTTCACATGTCCGTGTCGTGGTGATGTCAGAACCGCCAGTTGATGATGTCATCGGGCGGTTTATTGTTTAAAACCACCTGGTTCTCTCTAGACACGGGAGGTTCTTGTTTTATGTGTGGAACCGGCTCGTTCTGTGGCGATTCCCGAGTCGAACCGGGCGAATCCGGCTCGACTCGCCGTTTTTTTTTAAACCCTACTATAAACTCATTAAGGTGTACCTCAAAAACCCACTGCAAAATGCTCTAAAACCATCCGTTGTTCACATCAACCTCAAAATGATTTAATATGATAAAAAAAGGAATTTAAAGTCCTAAAAGTAGTGCATCTTGTCACATATTATCTAGACAATCCATTTTCAAGATGTTGCAATGTTTGGTGTGTCTAAATTTCATAATTAGAGGCAAAAATAGATTTTCAGACCATTGTAGAGATTTTTTGGCACCAAAATTACATCTTCAGATATGGTTTGGAGGTATGCCTTACTTTGATAGTTTAAGGCTGACACTTTATGCAAACTGCAACCGTCAACTTGACAAGCTTTATACCAAAAGAAGAGTGATCAACATACTTTGTGGAAGGTCAGGTATCCCAAGGACTCAGCAAAGATTCAAGGTCTAGCCTGAATTTGGAAAGATTTGATATGTCAAAACTTATGTCTCCGTAGTCTGAGTATTTTTGTTTATAAATTCAATAGGCATCAGAAACATGAAGACACGTACGATTCCCAAGGCCGTCGCCAAGTTTTTTAATTATCTCAACTGTATTCTAGTTTCTTTCCTTACATTGCTCCAAGGTTCCATGTTCACTAAATTCCCATCCTCGACAATTTCCAAGCATGACCTCTCATGATTACTTCACAATTCACATTGTGAAAAAGATTTCCATGCGAATCATTATCATATTTGATCCCTCAGATAACAATGCCATGAGGCTCTGCAGCCCTTTCACTTTGATCAGCATCACTTTATTTTCTTTTTTTGTGATTGGTGACTTTGACCAGCTTTCTCAGCCTAAAGTTACCTAGTCCTATCATTCACATCCCTAAACTTACCCGTGTTATCCAATGGAATATTTTTTCCCTGAGGTTGATCTGGCACCAAATGTGGTCTACTCTCTTGTTATATCTCCTTTCTTTCCCAAGCCTTCATACTCAAAAGGCAGCACCATGACTCTATAAATTCCTTCTGAACTCTTTATTCATGAGCATGCATGTGTCACCAAATATTTTTCAAACACCTTAAGAACAAATGACATGATTCAACAAAATGACATAAGAAATTTTTTTTATTGAAGTTCGATAAAAGAAATGAAAAACATAGTTTATTATAGAAAAGAGCTTCAGGATTAAGCTTCCTTATTGACTACCAAGCTCAAAATGCTTCTCAGTTTATATTTCCAGGAATCTGACAGCAAGATACTACCACACACAACATCCAATCTCAAGTACTGGGTACACAACATCCAATCTGAAATACTGGGTACCACTAACATCAATTCAGCAACTCGACTCGTGCATTGCCCAAGCCAAGTTACTCCGCCGAGCAGCGTACCACTTGAAACAAAGCAAAAAGGAAACAAACCTCCGAAAAGTGAGAGATAGAGAGAAGGGGGGGTAGTTTGGCCCCTCTTTTATAGAGAGAGAGAGAGAGCGCAAATGTGCCCCTCTTTTAGAGAGAGAGAGAGAGAGAGAGGAGAGAGAAAATTTGTTTTTCCTTGTACCCAAGTGTACATGGGTACAAACCTAGGCCATTGGCAAAAGTAAAGTAACTCGGTCATCCATCCTAGCAGATTCAGCCGACTTGTTGAACACTGACTACCATAAAGGATGAAATTAGCAAGACATCATATCTTAAAGACCTAACATTCAAACAAGTAGTTAACTTTCACTGGCACACATTCAAAGTAATATTCCTAACCATGAATGTAACAAATAATGTCTCATTGAAGTTCTAGCAGACCGAATCTATGTCAAAACAAGACTTATGCTATGGCAGGAAAATCATAGGAGCAAGACCCCATCCATCCCAACATAACAGCTGCGACTCTTTTCTTTACAGTTGATTCTTAACAGTCCAATACGTGTACTACTGCTCTTCTCAGGAAAACCAAAACCATCTAATTCTCTGGAAACACTACCCACCAACTCTGGCTCCAGCCAAAAATGCCAACCCTTCCAAGCTCTAAGAACTCTTTATTGCAAATACTAATAAGCTGCTTCTTTTTCATTCATTAAAGATATAAGATAAATTACATGATTCTATTCCTATACACAATAATATCGAGTAATTGGTAAAGTGAAAGACAAAAAAGGGATCAGAAGCAATGAAAGGAAAAGAAAACGAGCTGTATGAGATAGCAGATACATACCCCATGCAACTGTGCATTCTTCACTGGTCGCACTAGCTTGATTAGCTTGGCACTCTATGCCTATTCCAAACCAATAAATAACAGTTATGAAATCGCCAAAACAATAAAAATAAAACAATACATCAAAATTCCCTTGCACAAGGAAATAACAAGCAGCAAAATACATTTGAAAAAATACTGCCTCTTATACAATGAAGCACAATGAGAATCAAATATTTTGTTATCAATTAAGAAAAATTGGGAAATCAATACGAGTCCAAAGAAACAAAACAAAAAAGACACATCAGAGCTTACATAGATCCATGATATGGTTCCTGCATATTGCGCAATTATCGACTACAATATCTGCACAACACAAATATATTAGAAACCCTAGAGTTTAATCACACCAGAAGGACAGAACGAACAATCACGCAAGCAATATGACAGAGAGAGAGAGAGAGAGATTACCCTAGAGTTCCACACAGAATAACATGGATATAAAGACAAAGATCCACACAAGCATAATAAAAAAAAAAACCCATAAACCCGAGGGTATCAAAAAAAAAAAGCAAATTCGGGAGTAATCAGAGAGAAAAAGGAAACAGTTTTAACATTGGAAATAGGAAACAGTTTTAACATGATAGAGAGAGAAACAACAACACAAGCATCACAGAAGAGCGAGACACAAGAAACCCAATGGCTTCAAACAACAACCAAACTCTAGGGTATTCTAGAGAGAGAAAAAAGGTTTAACCATGGATCAATAGAGAGAGAGAGAGAGAGAGAGACTCAAATTCTGCGTACCCCAAGCCCATAGGGCGACGGCGTTCCATTTCTTAATCTCGAAACGCTTAGGTTTCTTGGAGGAAGAGGTGGCTGTGGTGTTGCTGGGTCCAGCTCCGCTTGAGCCTTCACCCGCAGGGACCATGTTAATATCTGTGTCCATGGTAGCCATTGAGCAGTCTCTCTCTCTCTCTCTCTAGCAAGCAAAAGAGCTCTCTGTCTCTCTCTAGCGAGCAAAAGCTCTCCCTTACCCTCTGGTCTAATCTGAGACCTCGCTCTATGTATTCCCCCCTTTACAAAAACATCTCCTTTCTAATTACTACTCACCCCGTCTCTCCCTGCCCTTTATAGTGGTGACTGGTGACCATAGCGAAAATCAAGAGCATGTACAATGGTCCCGAAGGACTGCTTTGTACTTTTGGTCCCGCGCTCTGGAGTTGCTCGGTTTAACCGGGGCGACAACTGGTCGAGTCGGACCAGAAAAACTATTGAGGAACCTGGACCTGGACTCGGATCCGGAACCGGACCCGACCGGATCAAAAGTCATCGGACCTGGACCCGGACCCGACCGGATCAAAAGTCATCGGACCTGGACCCCGGACCAGATCGAAAAATATAATGTGGGACCTAGACTTGAACCCGAACCCGAACCTGAACCCAATCTGACCTAAACCCAATCTGACCCGATCCAAAAATTAAAATATTATATATTTAAATATATTTAACCTTTTTTATAAAATACGACCAAAACGTATGTGGGACCTAGACCCGGCATTCGGGTCCAAGATTTGGATCTTTGGACCTAGACCAGACCCGAGCTAGTTCATTTTTTTACCCATACCCAGACCCGGGTCAAGTTTAACCGTCGGGTTTGGGTCCATTGCCACCCCTAGTTGCTCCTATATTTCAACCGCGAGCTGTGAGGCACGCGGAAGGCTTGGTATCCTATATGACCATTTTTATAAAGCATAAGGAGGTTAGCCATTAGATATCAAATTAGATGGCCATTAGATATCAAATTGGATGGGTTGCAGTATGTCACAATTTTTAAAAATCTTTTTTAAAATTCTAAATCTTGTTAATAATACTCTTACAAATACTCAATTTGAAAACCAATGGAAAAGAGTAATTATAACCTACTTGTACCAAAAATAAATAGTTTTTGTATGCCTTTCATACGAGGTATGTCAACTTTGAATAAGAGTATCAAGTACCTCTAAACTTGGTTAGTAAGTGTAATTTCGGTGAATCTTGTTCTAAAAATCAATTTTCACGATTATGAAACTTAAAGCTTCAAAAATAATATTATTTTTAAAATTATATTTTCAATTAAATGCATAAAGAGAGCTGTTATTTTAAATTTATAAAAAGACTTAACTGAAATATAAATTTGATCAAAGAACAGATCAAATTTTTTTTTTTTTTTTATACCAATAACCTGACCTAATATTTGTCCGATTCAACATTTTTTACAGAAGGAGACAATAAGTAATGGTGATTGCCTCCTACATAATCATTTGTATGAGATCTTTCATGCTTTAACTATGTCTTTGTCTATGTATATATTTGACATTGGCACTACAATTATTGGCTTATAGCATGCAGCATTTATATTGAGTCTCCATGGCTTTGTTGTCTCGGTGTTCACAAGGTATAATAAAATAGATGGTTCAGGTAACTTGTTACAGGATGCATTATTTTCAAGACTTTCATTTATATTCACACATCTCAAAGTTGAGATGATCAATTGGAAGGTTTTTTCTAATGTCTAATTACTTTCTTAATATCTGATTACACGGGCAAGCAACCACGAGCTCCCTTGAGTAACTCAATCTCACTACCCTAGCAAGAGTATCCCGAATTGGGTGGTCCAACTCAAGGATTTAAAAAAAAAAAAATTTATATAAGATTGCAACCTTAAAATGTAGAATTACATATTCACCTCAAAAATCCATTGGAAAACGTTGTTTTAATGTCGAACAAACTTCAAATTGATCATCTTGACATCAAGATATATGAATATGAAGAAAAAAAAAGATTTTGAGTACAAAAAATAGTGCATATTGCAATACATTATCTAAACTGTCTATTTTCAAGATTTTCATATGTTAATAGATGTACTTAATTTTAACCATTTTGGTGTTTAGAATTTTATAATTAGATATGAAAATAGATTTTGAGATAATCCTAAAAAACAATTTCATCAAAATTACATGTTATGATAAAATTTGGAGGTACTCCGTAATTGGATTATTTAAGGTTGCAACCTTATAGAAACCACACCCTTTTAAATATGATATTTAAAAAAAACCTTTCAACTTAATCATTGTTTAATGTTTATATTTTAGTTTTTGTACATATGACAAATCATTATCAATGTATCATTTATACAAAATTTGATGTGTCTATGTTCTGAATTGTATATAATTTGAATTCATCAGTAATAATCCTAAAAGTAATCAATATAATAATTTAATAAATTAAAGTCCCTAAATTTATCGGATAAATGTCCATGAAAAAGACAGCCAGATAGCTTACCACTAAAACTCCATACCAATAAACTCTTGATGCCAATAGTTGTCGGGAAACTTTCTATGTTTCCCCTATAATATAGAAGTTTTATGTTCCCTCTTATCTAACCATCTATTTTTTAATGGAGAGCTAAGATTGCTCCAACCACAATGTCACGTCTCTACCCTGTTTTATTTATAATTTTTTTTCTATAAACTATTTTGACACCAAATTTTGGGTTTTAGACGTCCATTCCTATATTAAACTCACACTAATGAAAAATATAAAGAAAAAAAATACTTTCAATAAAATAAAATAACCAAAATACCCCTGAAAGTTTCAAGGGGTATTTTAATCATTATTTTTATCAAAAAATTATTGTTAATATTTTTTATGGGTGCATCCCAATGAGAAGATGACACGTACCAAATTTCATATTCAAAAAAATTGTATTAAAAAACTAAAAATAAAATACTTTGAAACGTCGGATCTAAGTTCAAACGGTGAGTGGGCTCTTGATAAAAAATGGACGGCTGGATGGTAGAGAGAACATAGAACTTCTATGTTATAAGGGGAACATAGAAAGCTTTCCCATAGTTGTCACCAAGTTTAATAATACATATCATAACAAATAGTTAGGCCTCCATTTGCATGCCCTAGCCCAAAGATTGACCCGAAAATTTGTAAGTGAAAATAATGGATAACCAAAGAAAATTAGATAATCAAATTTATCCAAGATTATAAGTACAATCAACAAGTAGAACAATATAGTTTCTGAATTTCAGGCGGCGACGAGCCTAGCCCACAATATTTGAAGTATACACTACAAGACTTCACAATCAATTCTAGCTAAAAATTCAATAGCTTGGGGCATGTTACAAGACTTGAAAATTTTCTTCTAGAAATTGAAAATTGAGCCCAATTAAATGAGTCGGTAAATGATCATATTCTATGCTTTTCTCATATTTGAAGTTGAGCTTCGCGCCCATAAATAGATATTCAGTCCCATGCCCGGCCTACTATACATTGTTTGGCGCCAAGCTCGGGCAGCGCAGACCCCATGGCAACCCTAGAATATAGCAAGAGTGCAGAAGATGCATTTGTGGTTCATGAGAGAGACTCAAATCAAACAAAACAAAGAAACAAACTAAAGAGCACCACCTATGACTCAGCTATCGGTTTTCATTCCTACCAATGCTAACCCCTTTCGAAAACTAATAGGGGTTTCAAAATTTGCTAATCCACTATTAACGGTTAACATTGAAAAAAAAAAAAAACACAAAAGACAATCTAGGCACTTTGAAGCAACTGAAAGCTCATAATTCTCCGAAGCAAACTTCCCTCATCTTCAAAATTCAAAATATTATGTACAACTCTCATTGGTATAGTCCTACACCAACTCTCTTAGTTCCTACACGAGATTCGATTTGAAGAAACAGGTGACAAAGAATGTAAGCATGTTCCATTGTTAAGAAGGCAGGGTGGGCTCTGACCAGAACACCCGAGTCAGTCACTCTAAAAGGCACTAATGACCATACTTCTGAAACTCCCACTCGCTGTTGTCTGCGTGTGAAATCATGGGAGAAACAAATGTCAATAGTATCAGAGATCAATGTAGAATTTGCGTTAAGGAAGAAGAAATGACAAAAGAGAGAGAGAGAGAAAAAGAGATGCATTACTAATACTAATAAAGTAATAATAGACAGAGTTACTAACACGAGAGAGAGAGAGATGCATTACTCAGAGAGAACAAGAAAAGCATTACTGACAATAGAGAGAGTCGGAGGGGTGCATCACCAACACCAGAGAGAGAGAGAGGCATTGCTATCAGTAGAGAGAGAGAGAGAGAGCGAGAGATGCATTACCTAGAGGGCAGACCTGACGGGTTTTGAGCCACCGGCTGATGCAGTGGAAGTGGAACGCGTGATTACAAACACCTGTTTCAATATACACCAGAACCAAATCAGTATGCTAGTGCGTACATAAGCCTTCGACAAGAAAGTGCAGATTTAATTAACTTGAAAGCGTACTGATATGATCGTGGTAACAGTATGGCCACTGGGGTAATCACCGTCCCGATCAGTGGGTTGGACAGTGATGGAAGGGTCTGGGAGATACCAATTATTAATATGTTTGATGTCTGACGGAATCCACTCTCCCTCCATCTCTGCGTGGTGATGACCCCAATACCCATGTTATTACAATGATCATATGGATCATGGTATACCTTCCTTTCATATTCACCCACTCCAACTCTGAGAGAGAGAGAGAGAGAGAGAGATCCGGGGTCTATTATTGAGAAAATAAAATTTGATAGATAAAGCTAATAACCGCCGTCAACTAATAGTCTGTCTTGGAGCGTGGGAATGGCTGCCAATTCGTCTGGACTAGCGATCAGGCTTCTAGACCACGCTCCAGCAGCCTTATTGGTCCTGCAGGCCAGGCTCCGGTCTCGCTTGGCTTTCATAATTTGGGGCCTCGGCCATGGGTCTGGCTAGAAAAGTTTGGGATTGGCTCGGACCAAGCCTGGCCTGGCACAGATCCTGCCTATTGGCAGCCCTAATGCTTAGAGTTGCCAATTGACCCGGGCTGGGTTCAGTTTTGCGACAGGCAGCCCCACTAGAACCTCAGGCCAGGTTTAAAAAATTTGCTTCCAACCTTTTGGCAGCCCTAAGCATGGGAGGGCAACTCCACATGTAATAATTTAAACAAGCAAGCTGCAAGGTATGGGAACTGTGACTACAAAGAAAGAAATAGGGCAGCCCATAATGAAACATAGAAATATCCCAGAACCTTAGAGCCACCCTCAAACAGTGAAACTGTGA